ATTTCTTAATTTCCAGAAGAAATTCCGCCTGCAGAACTAACCAAGAAATCCAGATATTTCAGCCTGAAACTGCGTTTACCAGCCACTAATCTAATTCTTAGAAGTTGACCAGACATAAAACCTGTAAGCTGCAAAAGATCAAAGCTTCTTGTTCCAGATATCAACAGGGCAGACTTGAGCAATGAATCCAAATTTAAGAAGAATTCAAGTTTTGATTTCCGAATGTTTTTTTATGTCATTGGAAACAGAGTTTGTATTTGAGTCATTACAGAAATTTTTCAGTTCTCTTGGAGATCCTGCACTACAGAGATTCTAAGCTGCCTTGGAGAGCTTACTTAAATACAAGAGGCTCATTAATTTAAATCAATTATTAAAATAATTCAGTTAACGCCTGGTGCAACCTGCCAAAAGCACACATAGACCTCAGCTCTTCTGCAAATCAGGGAATTGTTTTCTCTGTTTCTCCTGCTTTTCACTGTATTCCTGAACTGCAAATTCTCTTTCCCACATTTTAGTTTCAACTTGCTTATTGCATATAAATGTGACAGAGAAAGGCTATTTCACCAGAAGGGATGGAGCCCAGCCCTGGGCACAGGGTACCTGGCCACCCACCTTATCAAATATTGCCCCCTGCAGTACTTCCTGTAAAAACACCCAATGGACAAATCCATTTGTTTTATTCCCAAAGGTTTTCCAGCTTACTGGACTGCTCTGAGCCTGCAGCAATTGTTCATTTGCTATTTTATTCACTCTGAAGTTTGTTTTCTGTTTCATGAGCTCTCTTTCCCTTAGAGAGAAATCTCTGCTCTTCAGATTCCTGATCTCCAACTTTCCTCATTACACAGCAGAAATTCTACTAACTGCATTATTGGTGAAGCCGAGTCAAACAAGTTAAAATGCCAACTTCTTAAACTTTGATATATAAATAGAAAATCTTTAAGTCCTCCTGTGAGTTTCAGCACTCAAAGCAAACAGGAAGAGGCGTGTGAGTGTTTGGGAAAGGATGCCACTGAAGTTAGTAGTGACAAACTGTTCAGATTCCAACTGGTAAATACGCAATATACGAAATAGGAAAAGGAAATATTTCGAAGCGAGCGATGCCAAAATTGCAATCAGCAAATGGAAGGCTAAATGTGCTGAGCAAATCTGGATGCTTTTTTTATTATTTATTTTTATTGTTTGAGCTGTGCCATATAACCATCTCGTTACAAGAATGGATCAATAACAGCTCCCGGCCACCCCTGCAGTGTCGTGTCACACCTCCACCCACGGCCCCTGCGACAGGATTTCGGTGGAAGGGACGTGTTCAATGCTGCTAAGAAAGGAAGTGCTGGCCTGCTTCGGCTTCTTTGGGTTTGAAAAACTTGAAGCCAGTGGGGATTTGTGATATCCAATACACAAGAGAGATGAGAATTTGGGAATGTGTGGGGGACTGCAAACAGACGCTACTATTCTCAAAATCTGGAAGTACTGAAGTGCCCGATTGTGCAGCGATGCACATGAGAACAAAGTGACAGCATGAAGGTGACACCCATCATCTGAAGGTGACATTCCCCAAACCCCTGAGCCCACTGCTGAGGCTGCAGAACAGCACCACGGCAGTGGGAGCGCAGAGCCAGAGGGACACGCACGCGGTGGCTGGCAGGGAGGACAGGTGAGTGTCACCACCACGCTCACACCAGCCAAAGCCACCAAAAGCAATTGTCATTTGCTGCCAGTAAAGCAGGAAGAGGACAGGTGAACATAGGAGAAGAGAAGCAGCCGGGACACATCTTCCTTTGTAAAGGACCCGAAGCAGTGGGAGGTGTTGACGGCATGAAATGTTTCTGTTTCAGGCTGGAGAATGCAAAAGAATGGCTTCATAAATTATTCTCTGTTCTGGAGGAAGAGTGAATAGGCTTGAAGGACAGGTGATGTCTCTGAAATATGCAAATAGAGCTGAGCTGGTCCAAGCAATTACCTTTCCACTGCCTGGAACTTCAGACTGAAAGGAATGACTCACAAGAAACAAAAGATGTGCTAAAAGGTAGAAGATGACGAAGGAAGACTGCATCAAGAGGAGAATGGAGACAGCATGGAAAAGAATATTCCTGACCACCTCCTAACAGCTGTTCTTGGGAAAAGGAGCAAAACAACCCACAACACGTAGTAAGACCATGCCACACAGAAGGGCTGAACTGCAGAACATCCTGAAAGGCAATTGTGATTGTTCTAGACCAACACAGCCATGACACTCCCGTGGCTTCATGGATGTAAAGACAATGGACCTCACCTCAAATATCCTCGAGGTTACCTGTTAATTTAAAACATTTTCTAGCCAATAAAATTGCTGAAAGTAAGTGTAACATGATAATTTCTTCCCAGATTTTAAACAAAGCTCTGAAAGAGAAGATTAGGCAGGACAATGAGACAACCTGCAGGCAGCAAAGGTGAAAAAGAAACTAAACCACCTTGGAAATAGCCAAGCAGATACAGTAAAAAAATGGCACACAAGCTTCAGAGAGCAGCTGTCTCCTCATGAAGTGTGGGTACTCCAAAGTCAGCACAGGAATAGGAAGCAGCAGGTGAGATCTGGGCTGCTGTTAAGAGTTCTCATTGCTTCTGGACACAAATTCAGGGCAGTCCTCCTGAATGAGAACCCTTTTACTTCAGGGTTTTTTTCCCATCCATAACAAAGATACTAAATTAAAGCAGGCAAATCTGATGCTGGAAGTGTACTAATGAAGAAACTTCAATATGGAAGAATGAATCAATGGAGAAACAAGAAAAAGGAATGAAGAAGTGGATCTACTTGGACTGCATAAGAAATACTGCATTTAGTTCCATTCTATTTGTTAACCAAAACACTGACAGCCTGAAGGTTGCAGAACAGCAGCAAATCTGCTGAGGAAAAAATGAACCTATGAAAAAAATAAGTGGTTTTAAGCTTAAAATTTTACTGAAGGATCAAGATAATAAAGCCCTTTTGCAAATATATGAAAAAGGAGACTGAGGAGGATTTAAAATAACACAAAATAACAATTTTAACGGGTGAGATGAAAGGCTGAAGAAAAAGTAAGTTGGGAACATTGAGAAAGCTTTTAAATAGCAAAATTCATGAGGATGCACAACAAGAAATTGAACATTTTTGTACTGTAATTACTATTTATGATTCATAATGATATGAAAGCCAAACTTTTGAAATTTGTAATGTGCACTTTATACTGCTTTTAAACTAAGCATTTGGAGTATTTCATTCAGAATCTATGGTACATAAGAAAAATCTGAAGGAACCTAGCAGATGAGCATGTAAAAGAGACACAATGACAGTGATGAAGCACCTTGTAATGTACCCACAGCTCTTTTCTATAAATCCAATTTGAAATTTGAAGACTAAAGTAGCTGTTTTATCTCCATCCTCTGACACATACATCTCCATCATTTTAAAGAACAGAGCTCCCTCTCGTGGCTCCAGAACGTGGATTTGGTGGGGAGAAGGACAAACAGGAGAGGAGCACGAGAGAGGACTGAGAGCATTTTGGTCCTGTAAAAGTGGAATTAAAAGGATGATGTAATAAGAAGGACAGGTGAATTCTTGTGAAGAAAGCAAAGCCACCTTTATTTCAATGCTGACTTTTAAATTACATTTTCTGCTAATTCCCCTCTTTACCTTAGGGGAAGAGGGGAGGAACAGCACTGCCAACCTTTCTGTGTTTGCTGTATGGGTTCTTTAAAATATTTGTTTATATTTTTTTTGTAAAAACATGTTACTCCCCTTTCCTGGCTGACACTTTTGTAACCTGAAGCTCACAGCTCTGACAGTAAGGATTTCTCTGAGGCAAGGAAGTGAAGGGAATACCGAAAAAACTAAATGTGTCACCATGCTAAAAAATTTGCTCAGGAAAGCACTGAGTATTTAGGGGTTTTGTTTGTTTGTTTGTTTGTTTTTTAATTAATATTCATGTGTTTCACTTGAAACTTACTTCAGTTAGGATTTTTACAAATTACTTTATTTCTGTATGAGAATTTTAGCCTGGACAAGAATTTACCCAGCAAGCAGCCAACTTTGGCTAACTGCACAGCACATAAAACTATTTTCTCCAAGGGCATTGAAAAGGATTTTTTATAAATGACAGCCTTTCTTTGCTGCAAAAACACTATGAATGACATGAACTAGTGAAGAAAAAAAAAAAATTAACCTTAAACCGCAAGAACAGCATCAGAAGACAACTCAAAATCAAATTCTTGATTCATAAGATTGTGCCCACACAAGATTTTGCTTCCAAAGCACGGGAATATAGAAGAACAAATTTCCTATCAAGAGAAGAAATTATCATGCCTTCGGCATTTTACTATTACTGAAATATCTCCACTCTATTTCCAAAGGCTATACTTTTTCTAAAGAGCAATCCTCTTTAAAAATGGTATAAAAGTCAGTCTATAAACAGGAGATATCCTTAAGGATTCAATCAAGTAATAAACCTGGTAGATGAAAGACAAATTAATTAAAATGACAGTGTACAGTCTCCCCATAACACACAGATACAGACTTGTTATGTTGGAGTACCTAATCATAATCAGATTTGGTAATTTGCTGCATGGAAACAAAAAGGAAACATTTTTAGAATTGATCATTCAGTTCATGTCACTTTCATGGAGATTGCTTTCTATTGATCAACATTTAAAGATGTAGTTGAAAAGAGAAGGATGAGAAAAGGATAAAAAGTATCTTTACATGCTAAATACAGCATGAACCAATAAGAGCAAAATAAATTAGATCACTACAGCCAAACCAAGCCTGTGCATGCACTGGCTGTAATGAAGATCATTATGAATGAAAGAGATGGTTCTTCATGCTTCAGTCACAACAAAAGGAGATTTTAGAAAAAAATTTAGACTTTAATCTGCTCAAAATGAAGTTTGCCATGCAGCAATTAAAGCCTGTGAGAAGCTGAACCATTGTCAGCTTCACAAAGACAAATGCTGGTTGGTTTTCTGAATGGTAATTCCACGTTTCCTACCTGTGGATTCCAACTGGGGTCGAGTTTTTTCACTGCAGCGATGTACTCCTGCATAGCTTGGTGAGGGCTGGTATCTCCCAGGGCTTTCCAAGCCTCCCTAGGAGCAACAGCAAAACATCAGTGAGCCCCTCAGATACAGCACAAGGTGTCTTTATGGTGACATCAGCTGAACACAGCAAACGGATTCATCAAAATCCTTTCAGGGCATGCAAAGCCATCTTTCATTCAGCTTGAAATGGTCAACGTTTCTCTGAGGCCATGAATGGCCACTGTCAGTGCAGCTCTGTTGTGAAAGGATCTTTCAGGGGATCCTGATCCAGGCTGGAACACGGTCTGTGTTCACAGAGCTGCAGCTGTTCTCACATTTTTGCTGTATTGCATGCCAGTTCTTGATGAAGACAGATTCTGGTATTTCACATCTGTATCAGGCATAGCAGCAAACATTTCCTTGTTAAAAAAAGGCTTTTAAACTCCCCTAGGTCCATAATTTGTCTACAAATGAGACAAGATGGAACAAAAAGCAGAGCCAGAATTGCTAGGAATGACAAGGACTTCCTCTTACCATTTCTGCTTTCCCTCAAAGTCAAAGAAGCTTGGCTTGGGGGTGTTACAGGTTCCAAGTTTCACCTAAAGAAAAGAAATTTCCTTCTGTCAGAACAAAACAAAGGGGACTTGCACAAGGAAAATTCTGTGTTCTGATGGTTTCAGGGTAACCGTGTCATAAGGCCAGAAGAAAGGTTTTTTTGGAAACAACTTCATCAACCCCATCTCACCCCTGCTTTAGCACCTCTGCATCCCTGGGTTTTCTTTGCATGATGCACGGGAAGCAATTTTGTTGTGCAGCTCATTTCTTTTGCATGCATTACCCACAGGGATAACCAGTGAGTGATTTCTCACTAATGTTATGTTTATTACCCAGCCAAATGCCTCATCCTCCACCAGGATAAAGAAAAATTCTGTTGATTAGGGTTTCCACAGAGATGATTATTCATTACAGCTGAAATTCACCTGCTTCCGCACAAAGCTCGAGTAAACAGACTTTGCTTAATTATTTTCAAGGTCCTCTGGAAGGCAAGGGGACAAACTTGGAGCGAAGGAATGCCAGGCAGCTCCTGAATTTGCTCCGAGGCACCCGGCTGCAGGAAGCACTGCATGAAAGACAAGTCAAGGCCTGAGTGCCAGAGATGAGCCAATCTGTCAGAAGCAAGGCAGAAATTAAAATGTGTGTGTGGGGGGGGGGGGTGAAATTAAAAAGGAAGGAAGGGAGTGAGCCAGAACCCAGGGAGAGATATATGGAAAAAAGTGTCACAACCAGTGTAAAATGAACTTGGTGCCAGTGGGATTCAGGCAGTTTTCCACATGTAAATGAATTTTTTTAACATAGGATGATGGGTCAAAGGCTAGAAGTCAGAGCAGCAGCTCCTGGGAGGCAGTTCCCACAGCAAGTCCCCCAAAGATGGGACACAGCACAGATGGACCCCAGGGAGGGGACACAGGTACACCCTGGAGGTGGGCAAAGGCTTCTGGAGAAACGTTTTGTTAGCCAAGCAAAACCAAACTGCATCCAGCAAATGTTTTATGAAATATGCTCAAGTGTTCAGGCAGGTGAAGTGCTTAAATCAACGAACAATTCTTCACCTTAACAGGGTGGGGATTTTATGCTGAGGATGGAAGCAATGGAAGCATTAATCAGGCTTTAAAGAGAGCATGCCTGTGCTGAGAGATATTTATTAGTTACACTATGTTTTCATTTAAAGTGTTAGAGAATATGAGTGACTGTAACTGAAATTAATTTTCTGTACATCTGACTGTCTCCCAGTGAGCAATTCATCCAAATTAGAACATCTTAGCTGGCCTTTAAAACAACATACTGCATTTCAGGGAGAAATAGGAGAATAGGCTAGCAACAGTTAAGTTCTATAAATCAGTCACAATTCATGTAGTCTAAATGTTTTTTTCTATGCTCTGAGGTGGATTGGACCACTTGTTTTAAAAAGCAAAACAAACTAGGGAATAAAATGTAAATTCATTATCTGTATGGAAAATGCCTGCTTGGCAATTCTTTAGTTCAACAGCCAACCTGCAGAAATTGGCCAAGATAGATAAAGAAAATAAATCTGTTTTAATATTAATTTTCCACTGCCATCATCAAAACACGACAGCAGTTTCCTCTCTGGAGATTTGGCACTCAAAGGCTGTTCTAGCGTTGGGGAAGACTGTTAGTAACATTGATAGTAATACAAATCAAGGAACAGTAGTTAAATTTCATCCATCAAGAGGGAAAAAAAGTGCACTTGTGCCCTGCTTGCTATTTTAAGGTACATTAAAAAGGCTTGCAGTGGTTTTGTTGGAAAGAATAAAACACAAGATTTTGGCTCCTCTCTTTTTGCTGCAAGACTCACAATGCAGGAGAAACCAACGAGGAATTTAACATAAAAGAGGATCCGAGCTTGACAGCTGAGGAAGGGGAGCTAAGCAGGCCAATACTGACAAAAAAGGCAGAATTTTGTGCAGGACTCTGTCCTCCTGCTGCTTCCCTAGAGGATCTCAAAAGGTGTTTCACTCCATAGCCAGCCTGCAGCCAAGAGCCTGTATTAGTATTTTAAATTAAGACTTTCTCATTCCATGTCCAGAAAATAATTATTGAAGGTCTCTAGGGTGCTGAGTGGTCACTTGATGCTCAGCTCTCCTCACTTACAGTTCATCAGCAGCATTAAAAGAACATGACAGGCAGAATGCATTAAAAACCTCCCGGTGTTGCTTCTGCATGCTGAGTCGCCTGCAGGCACTATTCTCCTGAGTGGCACAAACGTGACCCTGGCAGCCCCAAACAGGCAGTGTCTGCAGCCATCTCCATCTGTGGCCAAAATAAATTTGGAAAACTTGGATGAGGTCTTCACCTGAGAGCTGAAGGCCAATGACATTTAGAAGAGGGAGAGATGCTCAGAGATGTGTTAATGCTGGTCACCATCTCCATACACCTTCAGCTGCTGCTCCACGCTGTGAGAAACCTTGAGATTCTCCTCACACCTTACCCCATGACTGGCTCTCCCTCCCTGCTGGTGGTTAAATGGTTCTTTGCTAATTTTTCTGCCAATATATTTATACAGCAGGGTGTTCCAGCCAAATATTCCTACCTGATTGTAAATCTTGTAAGGTGAATTGCATTTGCAGCCTCCCTATGGAGCAATAACAGGAACAGAACCTCCATGGACAGCAGGACTGTACACAAGCCAAGTAAGCTAAATTGCTTTTCCAAGACAGCAATTCCTGCCTGTTTCTGTCCACAGCTCTGTCCCAGCCCATGGGAAAGCCCTGACTGGAAATGGGCTGTAAGGAAGGACGGGCAAACACCAACCACAAAAGGAGGGGTCATGATGACCAAGTGACTGCACATCCCAGAGAGACACTGGTAAGAACCAAGTCAGTGCCATGGCATGGCTCCATGAAACAGGGAGCTGCAGGCAGAAATTCCTGTGTTCAGGGCAGGCTTGTGGCATCAAGCCTGCCCTGAACACAGGAATATACTCAATACTTGAAAGACATAATGCAAAACGGGTATTATATCCTCGAGCCCACAGCTGGAGACACTACAGACCCCGTTTTGCCATCAGCAGTGCATTTCCAGCTTGCCAGCACCTCTCAACATTTACATGGACACATCCTCCTCCTGGCAGGGCAGTTTTCCCAGTCCAGTAATTTCCAGTGAGTTCTGGATCCCCTTCCCTATCTAAATCACCACTGGTCTCCATTGCTGCACCTTCTGAACCTCAGATTTTTACATCCTCCCCATGATGGGCAAGCGCTGCCTTCACCTCACCACTACAGATACAAGGCCCGGCCTAGTGATTTGCCCAAAGCCACACAGAAAGTAGTGGAAGGGAAGAAAAATCAGTCCCAGTCCAAAGCCTTATGGACTAGTCTGTTCCTCCTGTTGTGGGGCAGAGTCATAAACTCAGCAACATCTTCTAAAAACCTCACTGGAGATGACAACCAAGCAATTCCCTTATTTTCAGGTCTCTGACACATAAACAAAATCAGAGAGAAAAGTAATAAAATCCTGAAATGGCCTCCAATAAAAGGTAATAAAATTCCAGGAAAATGCCTATATACCCAAACAGTTTGAAATAAATTATATACAGTATTTTAACAGAGAGCTCAGCTGTTACTGTCACCTCTTTTATGACGATGTTGTATCTTAAATCAAAGCCTTCAGTGACACAAAACACTACACTGGGAAAAGACAAGGATGCCAAATCAAGGACAGTAGACAGATCTGAGTCAGCACCTTTTGTGTGCCAGCAATTCCACCATCCACCGGGGTAATATATTAGCAGCTCATTATGCATCCTGATATGGCTGCTGTAATTAAACACAGAAAACTTGCATTCAACGCCCTCATTTTGATTTAAAGCACAAAATGCTGCAAAACTTAAAGTTAGCAGGGCACAATCATGTGGTGGCTGTGCTAGCAAAGCTCTCCCATCTCCAGGGCCAGCACTGCACTGCCAGGCACTCTGTAACAGGGACAGCACATTTCTGAACTGGGGAGGCACAGAAATCCAGGAGCCAAGCACAGCCTGAAACCAAGGAGCACAAAGGCACTTGCTGTCACATCCTGGCAGGTCAGGGACACAGGAAAAGGACACAGAAGTGCCCTGTTCTTCTCAGTGGAAAGCAACTGGAAATCTGTGCTGACAAAGTGTTAATTGTCAGCTTTTCCTGACTTGTATCAAAAATCTTGTTAAACAGCTTCTGATTTTTGCAATTTTTAACATTAAACTCCTTATTGGTCTTACAGAGCTAACAGCAGGAAACCCTCTGTAGTCTGTGGACAATCATGAGCTGACAAGCAAGCAATCCCTTTGCACTTCCACCCAGGGTAGTCACAAACATTTGAAACAGAGCAAAAAATAAAGATGTTATTTGCAACAAGCATCCTGAGAATACAGCCAAAAAATTATAGAAAAGACACCTTTTTCCTTGCATCCTGGGCATTGTAAAATTCTCCTTGTATTTTGTTTTCTACCCTCCTTTTTCTCACACGGGAAACAGAAACCTGCAGTCCTGTTTAAGTGCTAAGCACAGCCTGAAAACAAAACCTCACGTGACCAGCCTGCTTTTAACATAATTACTCGTTCACAAACCACAGCCTGGGAGCTGCCAGCTTAGAGGATAATTAAATATTGCACTAAAAAATTGAGAGCACTTATACATGGCAGTAGTAGGACACAGGTAATCCATGTGGGAGGAACACGTGTGGAAGATGTGCACACCCAATTTTGTCTGCTCATCCAAATGAGTGGGATTCAGTCCTCAAGCTGAGGCAGCACCTCTTGCCACACACTTGAGCCATAGAATCACAGAATGGTTTGGGTTGAAAGATCACCTAGTTCCAACCCCCTGGCATGGATAGGGACAGGTTCCACCACAACAGGCTGCTCAGAGCTCCGTCCAGCCTGTATTTGTAGTTTTACTCTTTCATATTCTGGGTGTAACAACACTTACAGTTTTCTGTTTCTCCAAGTCAGGCGATTGCTACAGCCCTTTGCAACTGGTGCTTTGTTTGGTTTGTTTTATGTAACTTCTGCCACAGGAGCAGAAAGAAGCTACATTGTGTATTCCAACAGGATGCACCCCACAGCCTGCTCAGTTCACACAGACTGACGGGGAAGTGGGGGTCGAGTTCAAGGTTACCACCAGAACCAACCAGCTCAGCTGTGGAGCTGGTCCTCCACACCAATTTCAACCACCCTGCACTCTGCCAAAGCCAAACCACAGAATCGTTAACTGGGGAAAAGACCTCCATGATCATTCAGCCCAGCCTTTGGCCAAACATCACCATTCCCACTGAATCACATGGCAAAGTGCTGCTTCTGCTTGGTTATTGAACATTTCCAGGGATGGTCATTCCACCACTTCCCTGGGCAGCCCATTCCAGTGCCCCTAGTCCATTCTTCGCCCATTCTTTCAGGCAAGAAGTTTTTCCTAATATCCAACCTGGACCTCTGCTGGCAGAACTTGAGTCTGGTTCCTGTTGTTCAAAGGATGCAGCATCAGGGCCACCCTCACTGAGTGAGAGGTGATGAACAACCACCAGGGTGATGGATTTACAGAATCATTTGGTTTGGAAAAGAACTCTGAGACCACAGAGTCCAACCTTACACCAACCACCACCTTGATAACCAGACCACGGTGCCAAGGGTCACGTCCAGTGATTTCTTGAACACCTCCAAGAGCAGTGACTCCACCACCTCTCCTGGGCAGCCCCTTCCAGTGCCTGACCACCCTTCCAGTGAGCAATTTTTCCTGATGTGCAGCCTGAACTGCACCTGGTCCAGCTCAAGGCCATTTCCTTTTGTCCTGTCACATGTTATTAGGGAGCAGAACCCGACCCCCACCTGGCCACAACCTCCTCTCAGAGGTTGTAGAAAGCAACAAAGTTCCCCCTGAGCCTCCTTTTCTCCAGGCTGCTCTTCACCAGACTGGAGCTCCAGACCCTTCCCCAGCTCTGCTCCCTTCTCTGGACAAGCTCCACCACCTCACTGTCCTTCCTGAATCGAGGAGTCCAAAACTGAGCCCAGAATTTGAGATGCAGCCTCACCATGCCCGCTGCAGGGGGTCTCTCACTGTCCTGCTGGAACTGAAAATTTCTCTTCTTTTTTTATTTACCACCGGCCACACCACGGCTGATACAGCCCTTGGCCTTCTCGGGCTCATGCTCAGCTGCTGTGGCCAGCATCGCCAGCTCCTTTCCCGCTGGGGCACGTCCCAACCACTCTCCCCCCAGATTTCGGGGCTCTGTCCCACCGGACTCCATCCACCGCCACCGCGGCCGCCGCCGTCCCGGAGGGAGACACCCCCGCTCCTCCATCACCCCGGGACGCAACTTTCCTCCCGGGCACTGCTGCCACATTTCGGGCCGCAGCCCCTGTGCACACGGCCCCGGCAGAGCCCCAGGCCAGCCCCCCGGGGCACCGCTCGGCTCTCGCCCCCAGCCCGGCCCGCCCGCCCCGGGGCCGCGCTCAGCCCTGGGCCGGTCCCGCCTCACCTGCTTGTAGCGGGCGTACAGATAGAGCAGCTGCTCCTTGCTGGCAGCGGGCAGCAGCGAGGGGAGCCGCTCGGCCGCCTGCTCGAAGAGCGCGGGCAGGTCCCGGTCCGGCGGCGCCGCGCCCGTGGCCGCCGCCTCGGAGCCCGAGCTGAGCTCGCCGCCGCTCCCGCCCGCCGCCGACAGCGGGGGCGACGCCATGGCGGCCCGCGCCCGCCCCGGTCCGCACCACAACACGCTCCCCCGCCGCGCCTCGGTACGCGCGCCCGCGCCGCCCGCGGGAAACGCTCGCCGCGCAAAAGGGTTCCGGGCGGCCGCGGACCCGCGTGTCGGAGAGCGGCGACGTGACGTGGAGTGACAGAATCGCTTGGGTGGGGAAAGACCGCCAGGAGCATCGAGTCCAAACGTCCCCCCAGCAGCACTTACATGTTCACCACTAAACCGTGTCCCAAGGTGCCACGTCCACGCGTTCTTTAGGGCTTACAGGGATGGTGCCTGCCCTGGGCAGCCAAAGGCTGACGACCCTCTCCACACAAAACCTTTCGTATTATCAAATCTAAACCTCCCCTGCTGCAGCTTGAGGCCGTTTCCTCTCATCCTGTCGCTTGTTACCGGGGAGAAGAGGCTGACACTGAGATCATTCCACCCTCCTGTCACAGGGCTGTAGGGAGCCAATGTCCCCTGAGCCCTCAGCTTTCTCAGCCTCTCCTCACCAGAATTTTGCTCCAGCCCCTTCCCCAGCTCTTCTCTGGACTTGCTCCAGCCCCTCAATGTCCTTCCTGAGTTGAAGGGCCCAGAACTGGACGCAGGATCCAAGGTGTGACCTCCCCGTTCCCAGCACAGGGGATCGGCTAAGGGGGAGGATTCACAGCCCATCCACTCCCACTCCCCGCCATGGCCAGGGACACCAGGGCGCTCCAAGCTCCATCCAGCCTGGCCTTGGACACTTCAGGGATGAGGCAGCCACCGCTTCTCTGGCCAACCCCTCCTCTGCGGCCGGCTGCCCCCCGCGGTCCCGTCCCGGGGCTGCCGCCGCCGTCTCCTCCTCGCCATCATCTTCCTCCTCCTCTTCTTCCCGGGACCACCGGGGGGCACTCGCGGGCCGCTCCGGGATCATCCCGGCCAGTGCGGGGCGAGCGCCCGGGACACCGAGGCAGGGGTCAGCCGGGATCCCCCGGGACACGATGTCCGGGATCAGCCCGGATGAAGCCGGTGTCAGCCGGGCTCCTCGCGGGATGAGTTGCGGGTTCCCAGGGATGACGCTGCCCTGCTCTGCCCGGGGGTCCCAGCCAAGAGCCATCCCAAAGGCGGATTATATTTATCCCGGTATCTGCTTCGGGAGGAAAGCTTCCCTCGCCCGGGCACAGCTGTCGGGTCCCATCTCCCTCCTTCCTCCCCCCCAGCGAATGGCAGCCCCGAGTCCCCCTTGGCCAGCCCGCTCCGTGCTGGGGGGCTCGGTTGTGGGGTCTCGGTTTTGGGGTGTCGGTGTCACCCCGGGGCGCTGGGTGACGGATGAGGGTGAAGGTGCTCCCCGCACACGCCGTGGTCCCTCCGTGTGGCGTCTCCCAGCCACATCCGACTCACCCACAGAACAGAAAATATCCTGAGCTGGAAGGGACGCACAAGGATCATCGAGTCCCCCTCCTGGCCCTGCACAGCCCCAAGAGTCACACCTTGTGCCCGAGAGTGTTGCTCAAATGTTTCTTGAGCTCTGTCAGCCTTGATGCTGTAGCCACTTCCCTGGGAAGCCCGCTCAGTGCCCAGCCACCCTCTGGGTCAGGAACCTTCCTGTAAAACCCAGCCCAGCCCTCCCCTGACACAGCTCCGTGCCATTCCCTCGGGGCCTGTCACTGTGATGCTCCAGCTTGCTGCCTTGGCTGTGTTGGGACTTTTTCCACCTCTAAGAAAAGCTTCTGGCACCCAGTGAGGCTGTGAAGAGACTCAGAGGAAAAAAGCCAACCTTTTCCATTCTGCAGCCTGTGAGCAATGCATGCACCCACTTTTCCATCCATTTTCCAGAGGAAAATGCAGGAGCTGTAGGAAAAAAAAGACATTCCATGAGAGGCAGGAATAGTCTGGCTTTTATGCTCTTGCTGTCTTAACAACGTCGCTGGGTGCTGCAGGCTTTACTGAGAGGGGGAAAAGCCCCAAAATAGCCAAGGCAGCAAGCTGGAGCATCACAGAGACAGGCCCCGAGGGAATGGCACGGAGCTGTGTCAGAGGAGGGTTAGGCTTGATGCTCCTCACCCCGAGGGTGGCTGGGCACTGGAACAGGGTCCCCAGGGAAGTGGTCACAGCCTCACAGAACTCCAGAAACATCAGGGCAGCACTCTCAGGCACATGATGTGCTTTTTGGCGTTGTGCCGTGTGGGGCCAGGAGTTGGACTCAATGATCCTTGTGTGTCCCCTCCAACTCAGAATATTCTACATTTCTATGATCCTGAAGTGCCTGGACACAGCCACGCAGGGCCACGAAACCGTGTCCCTGTAGTCTCCATGCTCCTCACCCCGATGGTGGCTGGGCACTGGAACAGGGTCCCCAGGGAAGTGATCACAGCCTCACAGAATTCCAGAAACATCAGGGCAGCACTCTCAGGCACATGATGGGATTTTTGGCGTTGTGCCGTGCGGGGCCAGGAGTTGGACTCGATGATCCTTGTGTGTCCCCTCCAACTCAGAATATGTTATAATATATATGTTATATATATTATATAAAATATAACATATGACATAGTATATTATATATTATAAATATATATCTATTATAAATATTTATTTATACTAAAAATTAAATTCTTCGATTACTATAAAATTATTATAAGATACAAACTGTTTTAAATTTTAAATAGTACAAAATATAAAAATTATTATTAAATATAATTATATTATGATAGAAAATTTAATTTATTTTTAAATTTTAATTTTTTAATTTTTTTTTTTAATTACTCGCGCTCCCACCGCTCCCCAGCAGCCCCGCTGGGCTCCATCCAGCGGTGCCAGCCCTGCCAGCCGTGCTCCGGGGCAGCCGGCCGGGCTGGCAGCGCGGAATCCGCTTGGAGCAGCTGGGGAAGAGCAAAAGCGCTCGCAGCAGGTACAGCGGAGCGCGCAGCCTCCGCACCTCCGGAGCGTCTCCAAGGCGAGAGAGGCCCCCTGCCCCGCCGGGTTCCTTCCCTGGAGCACTGGCAGCTCCTACCAGCTCTCTTTCACTTTTTCCTTGCCTTTTTATTTATTTATTTTTGTTAAAGAGGGACTGCACGGAGCGTCTGATGCTTCCTCCCACCCCCTCGCTCCGGCAGGAGAGGGAGCGGGTTTGGTGCAAGGCGCCCGTGGAGGTTTTGGGAGTGTGGAAACCCTGAGTTTGGGGATGCTGGGCTCGGGCTGCTCTTGCTCTGCTGGATGGTGCCGATGTCACTGCTGGTTCCCAGCAGGCTGGGACAGAGCAGGATGGGCGCCCCGCCCCTCTGCTGGATGCACCAAGCCCCCTGCAAACATGAGGGGGTGCAGGGCTGGGAGAGCCCCCAGTCACACCAGTGTGAGGCAGCACAAATTCAGCCCACTCCCCCAGCCCTGGCTGCAGAGAACACAAAACCAGAAGCATTACAAGCACAAGTAAAAAAAAAAAAATCATGCAGGGCCCTTGGTGTGTGGGTCTGCCCCAGGTCCCACGCTGAGAGAGCAAAGACACAATAACAGGCTGTGACCAGCAGTGCCAAGCAGGGAAAAAATATCCCTGCATAATTATCATATCCATCCTGCTGGCCAGCCTGGGGACCTGTCATTGTCCCTGCGCAGAGGGCAGAGGCCACCACACACACCAAGCCTGAAAGGATCCCTGTGAGATAAGCTATGATTACTTTATTTTTTTTTTTCCACAACAAAAGGAGAAAGAGGCAATTAGGAGCTGGTTCCTTTGTAGACATGCCTTTTACTGTGGGAGACACCTGCCTTTGGAGGAGGAGCAGGCTGGGCATGTGTGTGGCTCCCGAGGGTGAGTGGCAGGGGAGCCAGTGGCACTCCCCTCCTGTGGCACAGCCCCCAGCACACCTCTGGTGCCTTGAGAAGATGCTGACCTAGAACAGAGGCTGGACAGAGTTAAAGAATAAAGCAGGGATTTATTAAAAGCCTCAATGGATCCACCTTGGGCAGCACAAGAGCCCAGCCAGCGCTACACCCAAGATGAACCAAAATGGTCACAAAAAGTGGACAACTGGTCACAAAGTCTCACACTTTTATAAGTTCTGCTCCATTTGCATATTGGAGTTAATTGTCCAATTCCAGCTTTATCCCATGCAGTCCCATCCTGCTTGTTTTTCTCTCTCCAGCCCACGTTGTTTGTGCTCTTGGGCCTGAGATTTGGATCATTTGTCCTTGGTGCCCAGCTAAAGAAGGAATTGTTTTGTCTCCCTGCTCTTTGCAGATTGCTCATAATCCCCGCATATGAAGCCCAGACCCACACACCAAAGCAGCACAGAATCTGAAAAATATAAAAGCTCAAACCTGAGGCATCATGCCAACCTGGCATAGCTGCTCCTGTGGTTAATAAATGTCCCCTCCTGTCCCCTGACCTCCTCCAGGCTTCCCATTGCATATGTTCTCATCCTGCCTCTCTCACTTTCTTTGTTTCCCTCACCACTTTTTGGGTGATTTGTTCCCTGCACCAATGCCCCAGGGGGAGAACCCTCCTCTCCATGGTGCCTCCCACCATCCTCCTGCCAGGGCATAGGAGGGGCAAGAGGGACTCAGTCCTGACTGAGCCTTTGCCAGACATCCCTGTAGGGCACCACCAAGCCCTGTCAAAGCTAAGCAGCCCCACACCTTGCCTGCCTATGGAGCCTGGAGCTGCGTGGGTGGCAGCTGCCTGCCAAAGCCATTTCTTGGCAGAACACGAGGTTAATGGCTGAGAACTTTTTCCCTGGCCCCCAAGCTGACAAAATCCTCACTGTGAAAACCCAAGCTGTGCCAGTTTTGGGCAGGCAGCACTCCAGTGTGACGCTTGGGGCTCCATGCTTTACCCCACCTTCTGTTCCATGCTGCTACCACCTCGTGTATCTGCTCTGTGTCCTGCACCCAGAAGGTCCTTTTCCTGCTCTGGGGGCTCCCCAGATCCCACATGCCTCGTGCAGAAAGCAGACCCAGAGCACAGAGCTCTGAGCAGAGCCACCCTCCTTCCCTGGTTGGAGCTCAGTGGCGCCGGCGTGGGGCTCAGGCTCACAG